TAAAAATTCATTTAAAAGCTGGTATCCAGTTTATGCTATTCACACTAGTGTAATGAGCAACTATAAGGTGCTGTTATTTTACACATGCCAACAGTTTAATTCTCAAATATCTTATACATAAGCCTCATTTTCAGTGATCCACTGCTAAGGAAATCGAGATAGTGAGAAGTCAACCAATTAGGAAACAGAAGCAAAAAGTAATAAAGCAACACTGACACCTAAGAATATGTAGTTCAAAACTGATTTTCATTATACTGCTTGTCTTTGGCTGGGTTCTTAGGTGCAGGCTATTCAGACATAGGTTAACGTGCAAGTGACTTATTAAGGAAGTGCCAGGAGGAAACTGTGAGTGTGTGTGTGTGTGTGTGTGTGTGTGTGTGTGTGTGTGTGTGTGTGAGTGGGGAGGAAGGCTGGGAAAGAATAGCTGACAAGGGCGTGGACAGTTGTAGTTCCAGTAGGTCTGGCCTTAATCTTATCCCACAGAGGACGTAAGTGATGCTTGGTGTTTGTCCCATCTGAGGCAGGGCTGCTGGACATTACCTTCTGCATCTTTAAGCTGCTCCAAGGGCTTGTACATTTCGTGGCTTTTCTTGCTGTCTGCAAAGTGAGTGCAAATCAGGCCTCTGAAGAAAGTCATACATGTGAGTGATTAGGTCTGAAGCACCCAGGACAGAAGGTGGTGGTGACAGCACAGAGACAGGGAAAGGTGCTCAGAGTGGTCTTGGTAAAGCACCAGCACTGTCCCTCGTACCACCCTGCCCAAGGACACGCGAGTGAGGACGGTGTTGGGGAGGGTGTTCCTGATCCAGATACCATAGGCAGATCTGGCTTGGGCATTGAGGAAGTTGGTTAACTGATACAGGCTTTATTTTCCATATACATAAAATAAGCAATAGTTTATAGGTTTGTTTTGAGGATTAAATGAATATAAGTGCACTATATGCTTATCTGTCTATCTATCTATCTATCTATCTAGACAAAGGCTTAGATAGATAGAGACACAGACATGGATATAGAGAGAGAAAGAGGGAGAGGGCCAGAGAGCTGATAGAGAAGAGCTGGGTGGGGCAGAAGAGCTAATGAGATGGGACATGTGACTTGCTTAGGGTCCCTGTCACACTGCTGGTTTGTGGCACATTCAGGAAATGAGCTCAGTCTCCTGACCTCCAACAAACTACTTCTTGCAGGATGTACATGAATTAATTTAAAAATTTTCAGAGTTATATGTGAAATCTGGTTTAGGTAATATCTCAGCTGACTTAACATGTATACATATACTAATATTGGGCCAGAAGCTACATTTAATGACTACATTCATGAGTTACCTGTTAAAATTCAAGGAACAGCATGTACATGAAATGTTGTTACTTTTAACTTTGTTAAAAGGTATTTGTTTTGTTTTTATATTCCTGAGGTGTTTGGCAAAGTTCTTACTTAACTCATATTCAGATACGAAGCACTCTGAGTCATAATGTGTTATATCTCTCGAGGGATATTGCATATTCATCAAGTAAAACAGCCTTCTTGCTAAGCATCTGTGTGGAAACCCAAGAATCAAATGGAGGAAGGTAATTGTGTATATTAGAGGGAGTGATTCTTTCTCTCCCATATGGTTCTTCCAGCGCATTTACTGATTTTACTCTGTCATTAACTTACGCAGATCCAGTTAAGAACTAGAAAATAAAAAGAAAGAGTGAAACAAAAGCAGTTTTATGTGGCAAAGTTTGTAGGAGAGACAGAAAAGACAATTTCAAACAGCACAGGTGTGATACATGTACATATTGATATAGTGATGATACAGACTTCTGTTCGCTTATTAGGATTTCAGATTGCAAGCAATAAAAACCCAGGTAGAACCAGCCTGGGAAAAAGAAAGGCATATGTTGATTTATTAACTAAGAGGAAAGGCTGAATAAATTAACATCAGGATGCAGAGATGGACATGGCTGCAGAAAGAATTGTTATTAAAAACCCTGCTGATACTGTCTTGCCTCTGACTTTGAACTGTGTGCTGACTTTATTGTCTCATTGCACTCTGACCTCTTCCATGTGCTAGAAAATATCCCTTCCATGTGCCTTCCCAGAAGGATCCAGGATTCCAGTAAGGGGTGACTAATTTCCCAGTGGTCCCCACTTCCTCAGTGCTTCCCTTCCCTTCACCTCCATCCCACTTGACCTCCTCTTATCATTGCTTCCTGGCCTTTATCTGCCAAGTCCCTCCATGCTGAGGCCCTTCGGCACCCCACTAGCAAGTCAGACTTTGCTTTGATCCCTGGGTTTTTCCAGAGTGGAATGCCTGGGAAGTGAGAACACCAGTACCCTGCTCAACTTGGTTGCCTCTCATAACTTGGAAATGTCGCTGCCCTGAAAGAGCCCTCCCCATGAGGAGGGAGTGGAGGAGGGAAGGGGACAGATGCCCAGTCTTCTCCTGGCTCATGAGGAGATCATACAGAGAAGCATCCACACTGTTAGTTCCACGTGAAATGCTCTCATAAGCAGCACCACTTTGGGAGCCAGGCGACCTTTGGATGCCCTCTGTCAGAGGGAGTTTATGGGCTTTGTGTGGGCAGCAAACTCTGCCTGCAGTGGGTATATGAAGCAGGGTGCCAGGAACAAGAAGAGGCAAGAAGAGAAGTGATAGGGATTTACAAAATTTCCAGCTCATTACCGATTCCACCCATCACCGCTCCCTTTTGTCTTAATTATTAGTTTATTGAGTAGCAGATAGTTCTACTCGTGTTTCAACAGGCAAGGAACCACATCTTAAATAAATAAGGAATATAGGAAAATTACTCAAAAGAGCTCTTCTCTGTGTCCTGTGTTTCTCATGTACGGCTCAGCATACTTGGACAACACAACAAAGGCTCCCGACGAATACTGAAAACTAGAGTAAAATAAATATGTATTTAGTTATAGGTAAAGAAAATATTTGACCTCAGTCATTAAGGGAAACATTTATATTTGCGGTAAGTCTGGGTCACAAATATTTTCAGGGAAATCGCAACCTAGGCTTACAGGGACAAATATACAAATTGTTAGTCTGTGGTAGAAAATAGAGAATCATGGGTATGGGCTGTGTCAGTTTCCTAGGACTGCTATAATAAATGACCATGACTTGAAATAGCAGAAATGTATCTTCTTTTATCTTTGGAGACTTGGAGGTCTGAAATCAAGGCATAGGTAGAGACAGGCTCACTCTAGAAGCTCCAAAGGAGGATCCTTCCTTACCTCACCCAGCTTCTGGTGGCTTCTGACATTCCTTGGCTTGTGGTGGCATGACTTACCTCTGTCTCCACGGACCCATGGACATCTCTTCTGCGCACATGTCTCAAAATAGCCTTTTTCTTTCTCCTATAATTTCTGAGCTTTCTTAGCAACAGCCAACTCTCATTTTCCCAAAAGCCTCTTTCCCAGGACCTGCCTTGGAGAGCTCAGCACCACCCTCAGGTTCTGCCTGAACTTGAAGGCTATTGGCAAAAATCTCCCATGTCTGAATGATTTACTCTTGACATAGTATTGCTCTGTCCTTGCAGTATTGAGGCACCCGAGTAAGTCTAGTCTCACGAGAGAGCTCAACCGAGATGTGGACACTAAATTCTCATTGAAACTTTCAGTCATACTTCTGTGCATTCATTGTTTTACAACTGCGATTGAGCAATAACTGTCGTTTTTAGGTAAAATAAAAACTAGTTCCAGCCTTCGGGGCTTATGATCTTTCAGAGGTGAGACAAGCACAAACAAGACCGCGTGCAACATTATTTCCATGAATGTGATGTCAAAAATGTACATGCAGGTAGATATGGCAAGATTCACTAGGGAACATGCAACAAAACAGAATTTAAAAACTTGAATTCCTTGGTTGTCCATTTCAGACCTCCGTCTAGTTCATACCCAGTCCTCCTTTGGCTGCTTGGGTTTTCGTACAAAAGAGAAAACATTAAAAATTATGAGAAAATAGCTTGAAGCACATTATCTAAATAGTCCAATTTAAAGTAGAGACCAAGCAAGGATTTGAGAATGGCACTTCTGTGTTCGATTAGTCAGGGCCAAAAGAAGAAGTGATGCTGAGGTCTCAGGCAGCCAATGTCTTGGAAATCTAGAAGCTCACCAGGCTTCTTTAGTCAAAACCCCTTCTAACTGCTGGCCACAGCTCCAGCCCCTGGAGCCTAACTGCAGGGATCCCCTCTCATGTGGATACAGGGCTCTCTGGGATCTCTGGGCATACTTAGCTCACTCTGGGTTGGCCTGCAAATGGCTGGACTCCGGTAGACAGGTGTTGTGAAGGCAACTTACCGAGGGGAAGTGGGAAGGAGCATGATTATGTGGAGCGTGCTTTCCATATCAGCACCGACCTCATTACCCACTGTGTTTTAACTGCTTCCTAGTTTCCCTCTTCTAATCTGAGCAGGGTCACAGGACCACATCACTAATAATGTTTCTCTCTCTCCCCAATTCTAATAATAAAATAATTAGAATGTGATCCTCATCTCTAAAATAAAAATATCCAGCACTCAGCTGTATATTGCATGCAGCTCATGTATATATAAAGATATCATCTACTCCAGTGGGAAAAGGTAAAAATAACATTTTAAGGTGGAGGAAAGAAAGACCAAGAGAGACAAGAAGACTTATTTTTCCTGCGTGAAAAACAAGAGGGAGGAGAAACAATGCACAGTGAAGCCTGGAGGAGAGTAGGGAGTTTTGAAATAGCTGCTTAGCTGAGTGGGAAACAAAGGCAAACAAAGGTGAGTTAAAAACAAAAGCAGATTAGTGAATAGTTACAATACACGGAGTGAGCAGTGATCGTATCTTTGCTGTCACCACCGTCATCATCATCTTTCTTGTCTCCAGAGCAGATCGCACTTGAACCTCGTAATCTTTACATAATTGAGAAGAATATTCCTGGAAGAAGGGGTAATTCCTGACTGTAGGTTGGGCTCACTGTAGGATGTTACTGGCTGTCTTTTCTCACCCTCTCTTTCTCATCTGTGTTTGTCTAGGTTGAGCCAGTGATACACAGAGGCCACGAGAGCCTGGTCCACCACATCCTGCTCTATCAGTGCAGCAGCAACTTTAACGACAGTGTCCTGGACTACGGCCACGAGTGCTACCACCCAAACATGCCTGATGCCTTCCTCACCTGTGAGACTGTGATCTTCGCCTGGGCCATTGGTGGCGAGGTGGGCAAATGATGACTGGGATGTAGCACCATTAATTGGTCATGGTGTTTCATCACAAATATGGCTCCAGTACTTATGAGTAGAGCTCCATATACTCTCTGTATCAGAGGGGCATGTTTCTGTTAAGTAGGAAGACAAGACTATTCTCAATGATTGATTAATGGAATTCTGGAAGGTTCTGGAATGATCTCTGAGAATGGTTGATTTATGAACACAGTGGAGCTCTCAGGGATTTTCATAAGAAACTGTCTCATGGAATTTTCCATATTTAGGGTTTTTCCTACCCACCTCATGTTGGATTATCCCTTGGCACTCCGTTAGATCCTCATTATGTGCTTCTAGAAGTCCATTATGATAATCCGACACATAAGAAGGGTGAGTTCTTTCTTTATATATTTTGCCTTTATATATTTTGGGTTTTAAAAGTTTTGTAACTCTTGTCTTTATCAGAGAAAAAATAACATAGAAAATATTAGAAAGAATCTATACATTGGCATCTGAACTAGGATACTTTTTAGAACAAAAAAGGATATTCATTCACAATTACACTAGGGCAATAGGCATTATTCACCAGCACCAGTGAAGTAAATGGACACATTTAGTCACTAATCAAATCTCTTCTGTACTACCTACCAGGGAATAGAATAATAGACTTTTTCATTCATTATGTAAATTGAGTTTCAAACACATAGTGCTTACGAAATATTTTCTTTCTAACTGTACCTATGAAAAAGCTACCATTTATCACACTAACAAATATTAAGTATTTTGTTGTTTGATAGGCAAGTTATAAATATACTCAGGAAGTATTTACTCAGTGAAATTGTATAAAATGGTGTTGAAGTGAGTAGGTAGGTATAAGAATATGCACTTGATTTTGGAATTTATTTATGTAATGTTCCAAAATGAAAAACTGACAGAATCTATGTGAAATTATCAGCAGAAGCAATTCTAAGTAATTATTTTATTTCATTGTATGCAATTATTCAGCAAATACTGAGCACTGCCTATGTGGTGGATCTGTGCTTGAGGATATCACATAAGTAAAATATATACTATGTCCCACCTCACGGAAATTATAATCTACTGGGAAAGAAGAACAATAAAAAACTCATAGCAATTAATATAAAATTATATATTACCAGTTATCCAACAGACAGGCATTGGTACTATGAGAGTATTTAATTGGTGACCTGATCTAGCCAACGATGTATGGTGAGAGATCTAGAAAGTATTCCTTGAAAAAACAAACTTTCCAAGGCTATAGGTGCAAATTCAATTTTAATTGGGAAAGTAGTCATTGATTTCAAAGTTAATAGAAGGAATCTTTAAATCCTTCATCTTTACAATAACTATGTCATAGCAAGGAGAGTGTTTTATTTGTCTTTTATCTCCCACAATGCCTATGTGTACTGTTCATATAATAAATTCTCATCAACTGTTGATTAAATGACTGTATTGAGTAAGAGAATGGTTACAAACTATACGGGAGGTTAAGTTTCAGTAATTTTCTCTGTCTCACATACGGTGAGACAGCCAAGGGATTTGTACCTCTAAGGAAATGTTACCAAACTTCACCTTAGAACAATATAAAGTCAGTTTTTGTGGAAGGGCTATTCTGTATTCTAAGAAGTTAGACTTTAGAATTTTCACTCTGCCTCTGTGTTAGGTAATTGTGAAAGCTATCAGCCCGATGACTCCAATGTTTTCTCCATAGCATGCCATATGCATCTATAGTGGTTGCAGAAAATATGGCAACTCACGTTTTAGTTTCAGTTTATGAAGCTGATCATTGTCTCTCACGATCTCTGCTTATATTTCTTTCCTCTGTGATTTTTAAGGAATATCAATGCATCCATTTTAATGGGCTATGAGAACTATTTTTAATTATGTGTTCTTGTTGCAGGCTTGATAGATAGTTCTGGGCTAAGGCTATACCATACCACGGATTTAAGGAAGTACGATGCTGGGGTGATTGAGGCTGGCCTTTGGGTGAGCCTCTTCCATACCATCCCCCCAGGGATGCCGGAGTTCCGCTCTGAGGGTCACTGCACCCTGGAATGCCTACAGGAGGTAGGCCGTGCCTGTGTCTGGGAGCTGCTCTCTACAGATTAACTGTGCTCTTGGAAACTGGTGTGACAGCTCTCTTCCTTGTTTTATTCTTTGCCCCTTGTCCTGTGGGCACCATGTGAAACCCTTACTGCAATTTCAGCAGCACCTCTGACTGCCCTTTTCAACCTCGATGCCTCAGGGGCAGGGTTTGGGAGCCAGGGAAACTTGCAGGGTGTTTTCCTTCCCAGTCCCACCGCCTCTGTTTCATGTTGGACACTTTATTTCATCTTTTGCAACTCTTACTTTTGTTGGTGTAGACTCTTTCTTTTCTCTACTTTTCCTTTTACTCATATTTATATCTTCCATCATTCCTCTTCATTTTTCACTCTGCTCTATTGCTTCCTTCCCTTCTTTCACCAAAGAGCAAGAATAACTAATGTACAAATGCATGCTGTAAAGAGAATGGCACGTGTAAGCATTTAACAATGACTACTTCCATTTTTAGTTTCTTACTAAATAGAAGTATTTCAGTATGATCACACTTATGTACCGCATGATACTGTAGGTGTGGACAGTACGGCAGACTGGTCAAATGGGCAGATTATGTCTGAGTTACTTAGACCATGACTCAAATTCCCCTGACGACAGAGACTTAACTCCAGGACCATAATGCTGTCTATAATTCCACTGATCTCTCTTGCTTTCTTATCTGGAAAAGAGAGGAAAACTTTCCTTTCTGGATTTTGCATTTCCAGGTGAGTAATGTGCTAGAATCTTTCTGCCAGGAGTGTTGACTGCCTCCAGACCGCCTAAGAGAAGGAAGAAGGAGTGGTCTTGTAGATCTGCTTTCTTGTCTCCCAGCAAGTGTTGCTTCGCAGAGGGAACGCTGAGAAATTCACATTCAAAGCATGTGGCAGCTCCCGGAGGTTGCCTTGCTTTTCTTCTCAGTTGTCCCTCCAAGTCTGTTTCATTGTGCGCTGTGTTTGGGCTGAGCAGCTCTTCCGGGTGTTCCCGCAGGCTCTGGAAGCTGAGAAGCCAAGCGGAATCCACGTGTTTGCAGTTCTTCTCCACGCTCACCTCGCTGGCAGAGGCGTCAGGCTGCGGCATTTTCGCAAAGGGAAGGAAATGAAATTACTTGCTTATGATGACAGTTTTGACTTCAATTTCCAAGAGTTTCAGTATCTAAAGGAAGAACAAACAATCTTGCCAGTATGCATGTTTTTGTTCTTTTTCACTGACTGTTGTAAAAGCCATGAGCCACACATCAGCTGAGATACAGCAAGGTTTCTACCGGTGAAATAAATTGCTCATTGTATTCATAATCTTTACTGCCCACCGCGGCTGTTGTGTAACTCAGAGTGATGTGTTTGATCTGCTTTCCAAACCTCAAACTCATTTTTTCTTGCGATTCCTAGGGGCAATTCAAGTTCTTGATTTAAAAAACAATCAAAAACAAAAAACTCAGGTTTCAATCACTAAACATCGCCCTTTTTAAAATATTGGCACCCCAATTAGTGATCCTTGGGCTTGCAGTTATGATAAAGGGTAAAATCAGGGTTTCTTTATGCCATTTTGAAGACATAGAAATTTTTTTACAAGTTTCATTTCAATACACCTGGATAGAGAGGCACTTTTTCCATCTGACAAAGTATTCAGATATAGCTAATTATACTGTGCTGTGTGACGCAGCTTGCAGCAGTAGTTGCAGTAAGCGAAGGAGAAAAAGGAATCTCACACTTTGCAACAACAAAGCTGTTTGAGAACTTTATGATGCTTTGTTTCCCTAAATGTTCGTTCCATGGCCATCAAGTTCATAGAATGTCCTACCCCTATTTCACTCTGAAGAGACAGAGCCTTGTACTACTTATGAGACTACACTAAGGGCAACATGTTCTCTATACAGTTGCTGGAGTCGGTGCTTTTAGATGGGTGAATGGTCAGGGAGAAGGCACATCATAAGATTATGTCATGAGGAGGAGAGGGACCTACATTTTTCTAATGATTATCCCTGATATTCACAGCTCTGAATTGATATTCCTTTCATAAACTCTTTGGTGTTCTCTGAGGGTGGGGAGATAAATTTTGAGAGACAGTAATTTGTCAACATTCCCAGGGCTGTAATCTCTTTTATCATTTTGGTCTCAGGACTTTCTACCCACTCTTCCTCACTGTCTCAGCACTTCCTAACTGGTGTGGCACTCATAGGGTAGAGTGTGATGAGACAGTGACCACTGAGCCCTCCACGTGGCAGGGCAGGGAGGGGAAGTCTAGGGATCAGTGCCCAGGGATGGCTGCCTCTGGTCCACAGAGGGTTCCACCACTTACTTGAGCAGGGCTATGAAATATAATTCTCTGTGGACATGGTAATGCTCAAAAGATGGGAAAGCACTGGAACAATTGATTATTGTTGATTTGCTTCACAATTCTGTTGTAAGGAAATAATCAGCTTTAAAGACAACAATACTAATGAATAAGTAATCAGAATAACTCATACCTATGACTAACATTTCATTAGGGATTTAATCGCTACTAGGGACTACATGTGCATTATGGTGTTTAATTTCCTCACAATCGTTGTACAAAGTGAGTGTTATTTATACCATTATTTTTTTAGATGAACACACTTTGCTGGGCTATTTAGTTCCTTAACCAAGTTATCCAGGTAGAATCTTGTGCAGTCTGGCTTCAGCACACTTGCATTTCTTTGTTTCCTTAGGCACTGTTCTAGCAAACCTACACAGTGTTACACAGGTCAAAGGTCTTATCCTGAGCTACTTGCTACATCTTTTAAAACAGCAAATGTTAACTGTTGGTCTACAAATGTGTTAAGTAAATAAAACAGCATTAAACTTCACCTGAAAGTTTTAACTTTTATATTTTAGGGAGACAACCTCATTACTGAATGCCGCTACAATACAAAGGATAGAGTTGGCATGACATGGGTAAGAAGATCTTCACTATTATTAAAGTTCATTTATGGAAAGTAGGGAAAAAGTTTTGATCTTAGAAGAAAAAATGTAACAAACATTGTCCTTTGGACAAAACATGCCTGAAAACCTTGACCATGCAACATCATAAAGGTAAAACCAGAGATATTTAAGCATTTTATCAGACTTCAAAATACCTGATGATACCATGGTAATAATGCAGTGTAATTTATTACTCTTTCATGACAAACCTATCCTTAGTCTTTTAGTTTTTCCCCATCAAATATGATAAGATGTGGTTATTAACTGACTATCTGCTTGAATCTGATAGTAAATTGCTGTTCATTTAAAGGAAGAGTGAATTACATGAACTCAAGAGCTTCTGACCCAAACAGAGGTCTGGTCCCAACAGATTTACTGGAAATTCCTGGGCGTACCCAAGAAATACATATCTCATGCCTTGCTCCGCCTTTTCCAGAGAACACTACGAGGAAGACCACCTCCCACCAGCTCCTTTATAAAGTTAACGCAGTCTTAACACTAATGTTTTACAAGGACAACAAGAAAGAGGCCAGCAACATGCCCCTGGTGCAAGTCTCTTTGATAAAATGCTGACGAAATTCTGCAAATGTATTGATGTCCTTCGAGGTTCAGGGATTGAAAGGAAAGCACATGGTCACCAAGGAGAGGCAGAAAAAGCATTCATAAAGTTTGGGTCACTCATGGAGAGAAGAAAAAGACATTCAGCAAACCAGGAACACCAGGAAACTGCCTTAATGAGACAAAAGTTAGCTATGAGAAAACCTGGAGCTGGTATTAAGTTAAATTAAATACTAGAAATATTTCTCCAAAATCAGAAAGAATACAAGGATATTTGCTTTCAATGTTTCTATTCAACGTTGTACTGAAAGAGAAAAACACAGACTATGAGGATCAGAAAGAAAGACATGGAGAAGCAAAACACATCATTCATGGATATTACAGTTTTAAACACCAAAATCCTCTCTATAATTAATATGTAAAATTAACTTCATTTTAATATAAAGGAACTTTCTTGGCATAATGCAATTTAAAATTATAAGTAACATGGAAATAAAATCTAACAATATATGTGTTTCATCTCTGAGGAAAAGATATAAATTTTGTGAGACACTAAAGAACAGTGAAAGAAATTTTAAAATGCCACATTCATGAATATAATGGCTCAGTAAAATAAATGAAATAGAATACAGTTATAGAAATGAATAAACTAAAGCCACATGTATTCACCTGAATCTACCTGAAGAATATAACATTGATTGAAAGAGCAGATTTAGAGGGAATGTGTGTCGTGTGACATGCGGGTGAAGTTCAAGAATAACCTAAATAAAGCCATATTTTGCTTAGGGATGCACACTTCAATAAACTGAATGTAAAGTAGAGTGAAAAACCGTAGAAAGTTTACAAAAATATGAAGATATTGATCATCATAGACTAGAGTGAGAAAAAGAGAGATTGAAGCTGGACACACAGGGTTAGAATTTTTTTTCTTATGTATAGAATATTTGTTTTTATAGAATAGTCAATTCAAAACACAGTGAAACCATTTCTTCTAGTGGGTCATTTGGTGCACTGCCTTGATTCCCCTTCAAGGCCACACAGTCAAACCAGCTACTGGGAATATCAGATGAGAAGGTGATAGCTCACAGCTGTGTCCCCCCTTGGACATTGCCTGTGCCCTAAGACCATGACTTAGTCACGCTCCCTCCGGTGACTGCGTGACGTTGGCGTACAAAGGCCCGACTCCCTTATTACAGTTTGCTGCCGCTCAGTGGCAGTCCCAGCTAGAAAATAGCTGAACTATGGTGAAGATCACTGAAATGCGCTATTTACAGAAGCTTCAGTTACAAGTTCATTTGTCAGTCAGCTTCCCCCATGGCCCAATCCTGCCTTGTTCATTGAGTGCAAGACTTCATCCGGTTAATAACATCCTTGCATAGGAGCTACTACATCAATTCATAACCCTGAACAGTACTACCATGGCATGCTTTTCACCTTCAGCCTTGAAAGATGGATTTGTTGGGTACAGAATTATTGATTGACAGTTGTTTCTCCAGCAGGATTTTAATACGCATTTCCAGTGTCTCTGTTACCTTCCTCATCTACAGTGAAATCTTGATTGTCAGTTGTATCAATTTGTTTATAGGTCATGTGTGCTTTCAGCACTCTTTCACTGTCTGACTTTCAGCAGTAGAACTGTGATGCGTCTACTTATGACTCTTGTACTATTTATATTTGCATTTGGTGAGCTTCTTGGGTCTGTAAGTTGATGCTTTTCACTAAAAGCTTTTTTCCCATTTCCTCTCCATTTTTGGATTGTGCTCATTTCTAGCAGTCAATTTTCAAGTTCACTCATTTTTTGGTCATCTCAAATCTGCTACGGAGCTCAGTGCTTTTTTCTTCTTCTTTTTTTACTGAGCTATAAAATTTCTATTTTGGGTTTTTTTATTGTTTCCTTTTTCTGGCATTTCCTATTTGCTTTCTTATTTTTAATTACTTGAATATATTTTCTTTAACTATTTGAATATAATTTTATAGGTTTTTAAGTCTTTGCTGTATTCAACGTCTGTGTCTTCTCACAGTGTGTTTCTACTTAATTTTCCCTCTTTGGTACAGATCATAGTTTTCTGTTCCTTTTCAGGTTTAATAGTCCTTGGGTGAAAATCGAACATAGTAGATAATCTATTGTAGATTCTCTTCTTCTGAGAGTCTTTTTTGTTAAAATTTAACAAGTTATTAACTACTTAGATATAAAGTGTGTCATCTGCATCCTTTGTGGCATGTAGCTATTGATGTTCATAAGTAGGAAGACACAGAGAAAACTCAGTTTAGTAAGGAAAAAATGTCTGTCAGACTGATGGATGGGTATCCTGTTAACCAAAGTTCCTCATGGTCATCTGAAACATTCGCTGTGATGCAAAGTTTATAACATAGCAGTAGAACTTCAAGGAGATTAGTACGTTTATTTATTTATTTAATTATTGGTACTGGAAATCAAACTTAGGACCTTGCTCTTGTCAGGCAGCCACTGTGCCACTGAGCTATACCTCCAGCCCTAGTAAGTTATTTAATAAAAGCAACTTTTGCAGACATGGAAATAATTTTATTATTTTTTAAGGATATCATCATCTTTTTGAAGGCTATCATTTAAATGATTAGTTTTGAGATGTAAGAAATCTTAAAAGACATTTCAGACCTGGAAGGAAGTGTATGACGTTGGTGGTTTTTGTGTTACATGTGTCAGAATTGGTGGAACATACACTTTGCTAAATAAAACACCTCCATTTTCAGGGAGGACTAAGCACCAGGAATGAAATGTGTCTCTCCTACCTGCTTTACTACCCAAGAATTAATCTCACCAGATGTGCAAGCATTCCCGACATCATGGAGCAACTTCAGTTCATCGGTGTGAAGGAGATCTACAGACCAGTCACGTGAGTGCTGAGCGGGTTTTGCGGTAGAGCCATGTACTTCAGTACTGAGCTTTATTTCCATACTGAGATCTTGCCACCTTATGGAATTGCTTTATGTGTGATTCTGTTTGATCACTTGCAACTGGAGAGAACAGGTAATCACTGTCCAGGGTTCCCAAGCCACACTCAGTTTCGTTGATTTGCTAAGGATAAAGACTCAGCATACAGGTGAACTCATGGATAATATTTATTAAAATGAAAAGATGAAAGAAAAATGAACAGAAGGAAAGGCTCCTAGGGAAAAGTCCAGAGCAAACCATTTGCATGTAAGCTTCCAAGAGGCCTCTACTCGTTGAGTTACAGAATTTCTTAATTTCACCAGAATTGAGTTGTGACATGTATGAAACATTGTCTGGTACGCATTCTCACTAAAGCCTCCATGTCTAGATTTTTTGGGGGGTGAGGGCCTTGGACTTGTTAAAATGTGCTGTCTGTCTAAGATGTATCCAAAGTCCAAAATCCCAGAGAAAAGCATGTGCTCAAACGTAAACCAATTATTTGTGCAAATAGTCTAGGTGAACTGAGTCACTCTCATCACTTAGGGAAAGCTTTACACCGCTATAGGAAACAATTGTCTGTTAAGTTCCAGATACCAACCAGGGATTGCCATCTATGGCCTGCTATGCAAACTCCTTCTGCACAATTGTGTAAAAACTACTTAAAATAAAATAGACAAGATAAACAGTATTCCTTTCCCCCTGAAATAATATTTTAAAGTGGAGGAGTGGTAATAAATAAACAACTTAAAATTTAAATAGTAATAGATATTATAAATGGAAAAGTGAAGGAAGTGTGTAGCTGTTGTCCACAGGTAGCAAAGCCTTTCTGAGGAGGTGATGCTTAAACAGAGAGCTACATGCAGAGAAACCAGGGATAGAAGAGCCGGTGTCATGACTCCATTGGGTTTGAGGGAAAGCAAGGGGCTAATTTGGCTGGAGCAGTGTGAAATATGGTAGAAAATAAATGACAAGGCAGGACCAGGGCAGTGGCATCAGACCATGGAGGCCTTTCTGGGCAGTGAGAAGCCAATGTAGGAAATAAGCAAAGTCAGTTTGGCTAATGTGTTGGAGTTGGATGAGGCCAGATAGAAAATGCTACCAGCAGTCGAGAGGCTGCAGTGATTTTCCAGTTGGCAGGCAAGGGTGCTTGGACCAAGATGGCGGCACCAGAGCCGAGGACAAGTGGTCACACTTGGGTTACCCTTTGGTGGTAGCACCCACAGGACTTGCTGAGTGATTGCAGTTCAGGAAGACAGCGAGGGAAGGCAAAGAAAAAAAGCTCAGTGAGTGATGTAAGGGGAAGAAGACACTGAGGACTCTGTTTGGTGTCTATTAAGTAGATATTTAAAAAGGATTTCATTTATTCTCAGTAATATTGCAAGAAAAACTAGAATGGCTGGTGGAGATTTGAGGATGGCATAATTTGTTTACATATAAGGAAGATCTTGCTAGTAATTAGGATTTTTTTTGAAATGAAAAGGATTCATGTAATTAGATGAAAATGTACACACATTTTTTGGAAGAATATTTAAGAACAGAGTAAAAAACACTTAATAAGATTCTGGTAAAATGCAGATGCTAAAGGAGAATATGCATATGGTCTAATTTTTCCTCCTAAGTATTACAGGGATTATAAATTATGAACTAAGGCCATCCTTTTTAAAATTAATCACCTGGGGCTGGGGATTTAGCTCAGCGGCAAAGCGCCTGCCTGGCAAGCGCAAGGTCATGAGTTCGGTTCCCGGTACCGGAGAAAAACCAAAAAAAATAAAAAATAAAAAATAAAAATAAAATTAATCACCTGTAGATATGATTTACTTCTATGGAAACAACCATTCAACCACCAGAGCAGGAATCTGGATCTAGTAAAATACAAACAGCAAAATACTCATGTAAATTGCTGTCTTGTTTACTTTTCTCTTTGCTGAGATAAAATACCCAAGGCCCAAAATTAAGGAAGGAAAGATTTATTTAGCTTACAGTTTATGAGGGTTTCGGTCTATAATCAGCTGGCTCCAAGGCAGGGTGGCAGGACACAGGGGCAACGCTTCAAGGTGGCATAAGACAGCAAGAGCGAAAAAGGAGGAGTGGCAGCAAGCAGCCTCTCTCCCTCCCTTACACTGTGTGTAAACTCCCCGCCCCAGGGCAGGTGTAGCACTCACACTCAGAATTCTAACGTTGGATGTTGAATCAATCATAAATTCTAGAAGCCCACCCCATGACTGCGTGAGGCTTTGGAGGGACACTCAGACACAAACCATAACAATTGCTTTGTAGTCTATTATTTTTACATGAATGATTTCATTTATTTTTGCACAATTTTAAGAGAGCAGGACGTGCAGTACCAGGTGATAGATTAAGAAGCTGTTCAACATAACATAGTCTATAATAAATAGGAAAGTCGGAGTTTGTATGCTGGTCTCTTCTTTCATATATGTATATATTTATATGGAATAACTTTCTGATAGGACTTTTCCTATCAGAAAAGGACTGATGAAAGCAGCTGATGTGATTAGATAAAATATTCACATATAATAAATAAAATATTAAAAAATACAAATGATACATAAAACTGCACAGGTTCTATACCATTTAATCTACTCATGCTATACACTACCCAGAGCAAACTATACAAATGAGACAAGAAGCTATTGTCTCTATATTTTTATCAATTCATTCTCTAAAGTCTAAGATTGCTACAGAATGTTTAGAATGAATCATGATATTTAGAAGCACAAAAATGGAAGGTCTTAGGCCGTACGATACATGATACTCCTTTTCAGTGCTGTATCCCGAAAACTCAGCGAAATTAGAAAGCACCTATTTTAAGCAAAATTAGAAAATACCTCACCCATTTCTCTCTGGTCTTCTAGCCAGCACCTCGCTGGTTTGGCCTTCACTATTATTTATGTCACCATGATGAAGAACTAGATTTGAAAGTCTGATTTAAAGGGTAAACATGTTATTTTTAAGTAGAGACTCTTTTTTATTCACATAAATTCAACCACGAAGTTGGATGATTTTTTTCCTGGCAGTGACAGCTCAAAACTGGCCTTGCTGTGTGGAGCAATTCTCTCCGTGTGTCCAGGTGATGAAAGCTCAACTTCAGAATTTCCCGGGAAGACCCAAGTTAGGGACACCGCACAGCTCACCAGGAAATGAGAGGGGTTTTGTGAGCTCACTTCCCACAGAGTGAGCATAAAAGATGAACCACGGGATGTGTTCCGTGTATTTTGTAAGCACACAACTTTGGATGTCTGTCTGCTTTTAAACATTCTCTCCGATAAACTCATGGTTGGCGAAAATTTCTGTCCCATATGAAAAGAATATTCTAAAAGTAAAAACTGCTTACGTCTAAATAAGAAACTATCTGAAGTCAGTATGTTGGAGCCGGGAGGTTAGCTCAGTGCTAGCGCACCTGCCTAACATGTGCCAGGCCTTGGGTTTAGCCCCCAGCACCGTAAAATAAACCCCAAATATTTTAGAGCAAGATTATATCCTAACACTTTTAGAATGGCATTTTAGGTATCATTTGTAGTTTTTAATACTTTATTTATTATATGTGAATATTTTGTCTAATCACATCAGCTGCTGTCATCAGCCCTTTTCTGATGGAACAGGTTCCACATCACCAGTCACAGGGGAAATAGAGGAGGGACCGCGGTTCGAATACAATGACGAACACATAAAAATGAGTAAAATTTAAATGGTTGAAAAGTTTTTTTAAAAATCAGGGAATTTTGCAGTAATTTGGGAGACTATTTCGAGACTCTGTTGAAGTGAACATAAGCTCAGTATACAACTCAGTTATTGCACACTAGACAGCAAGGCGGAAAACTAAAACACAACCCCACCCTCAGACTAACATGTACTGTCCATAGCAGCCTTCATCGTAGCAGCTGGGGACTGGAAATGATCCACATGTCTTTCAGTTCGTGAACCGATAAATAAATTATGGTATAGCCACAGGATGGAATATTACTCAGCAAGAAAAACGAAAATCTTTTTAGAAGGATGCTGGTCCAGCTCATGAGGGTGCAGCCATGGTGGCCGGGACTCCTCCTAAATGCCTCCCCTCCTCACATCACCGCAGTGGGTGAAGGGTGGGGGACACGAGTGTGACTGAGGTACATCTTCATTCTCAGGAACTGCGGTGAGGGGAGAGAGAGCTGCAGGCCTTTGCATGCATACACACACACTTCTCTTTAAAAATGTTTTATTCAAATTTTTGTGTATTGCTCCACTGGTCATTTGTTTCCTTAATATTGAATCATGGTAGTTCTTTGTATTAAGGGGTTCTTCAGACGCTGGATGCTAACCTTCTGTTAGATGCACGTGTATAGGTTGGTTTTCCTTTTTGACATGGTAGAAGTCCGCTTCATCATTGTTTGGTTTGGTTTGTACTTTGGCTATCACACGCAAGTGCTACTGAAGGTTGGGAAAAGGATGCTTTTTTCCCTTCTAAAAAGTTTCTACTTTTAACTTTTGCTTTCAAGTTGATAATTCACCTAGAATACACTTTCTGGGTAGGTAAAACCAAGGTTTGTTGTTTTTTTAAGTGAATAGCCAGTTTTTCAAGCAAGAAAACTACCTGTTTACTCTTGAATTACTTTGACTATTTGTTGGAAAATTGTTTGACCAAATGGTGACTCTCTGGATTCTACTCTGCTTCATGGCTGTAGGTGTGTGCTTTACTCTAAGGCATACTCACCTGTCACTGTTTCATGGGAAGTTTTAAAGTAAGAAAATAGGGCCAGGGACATAGCTCACTGGCACAGCTCCTGCCTGGCAAGTCCAAGGTTATGAGTTCAATTCCTGGTACCGAAAAAAGAGAATATGTAGCGCTCTAAACTTTGTCATCTTTTCTTTCCCAAATAATTCTGATAGTCTAGGTTCTTTTCATTTTCACAGGTATATTTAAATCAACTTATCAATGTCTTTAAAGATCTGCAGGGATTTGAACAGGATTATGTTAAATCTCTAGATCAATTTCAGAGAACAGACATCTTAACAATATTGTCTTCTGCTCTATAAACATGATATATTTCTTCACTTACCTAGAATTCTTTCCCTTCTCTCAGCACTGTTCCATAGTTTCCAGTGAAGTTTCTGCATGTATTTTGTTAGTGTATTTTTGTGTTTTAATGCCCTTGTATGCTAATTCTATCATTTCTAGGTTTTGGAGTATTCACCAATCTTTCCCCAGCTAAGGTGCACATTTTCATGAGTTTTCATGTATTCAGTAATTTTTGACCAAACACAGATACTGGACATTATGAATTTTATGTTGATCAATATTAGACTGTTTCTATTTATTTGAAACTCCTTGTCATTTGGAGTCTAGAAAGGATGTTTAGGGCTTATGTAGCTTCCTTGCTTACCCCTGACCCATCCTAATTTCCTGCTAGATGCCTGTGATGTCAGAAAAGATATTCCACACTGGCTGTTGGATCTTGAATGTCTGCCAGCTCTCTGTGAGTTCTGGAAATTATTTTGCTTATAACCTCACAGCTATTCTTTGCTCAGCCTTGTGGAATTTGGAATTGCTCAGCCTCCTAAATTTAGTTGGCTCATTACTTAGTCCCAGATTTAGGGGATCTTTATTCGTATATTGGAAGGAGCTATCTGTCTATGTGGACCTTCTTCCCCTGCAGTGCTTGCTGTACCTCGAAAGTTCCAGTGCTTCCAACTTTTTTAACACTGATATTTGTCCTCTTACTATGATTGTCTTGAGGGGTGGAAAGAGCACTTCCTCCGCCATGGTTCCGAAAGAGGTTCCGGGTAGAAAGCTCGGATGAACATAGCATTTGAACACTTTATTCACTTTTACTGGAGCAGCTTCATTTTCTGCTGCTTTTGCTGCCTGTTTTCCGGTGTCCAAAACTAGGTGTTCCACATATTTTTGGGGGTAGTAGTAATCTGCTCTCAGTTATTCCAACATAGCCAGAAAGAAAAGTCTGTTAATGGATTTTTTATTGTACTACTTTTGATCATGCGGTTGTTTGCTTGGCAGAGGGAAAATCTGTGATGGTAGTCATCTGGGGACACGTAGTTGGACATTGCTTCATGTCAGATTTTTCATCTCTCTTCCTCAATTCTCAAGAAATACTCTAGCAATAAAACTTTTAAACGGGGGTTTTCAGAGGCTCGGATAAAAACAGTAACCACAGATTAGCTTCCTCTTCTGCTTCTCAATTTGTGCAGGAGGGTCAGATATAAAAAAAAAATCATTAAATTTTAAAAATTTGTATTGCAGGCTGAATTTACAAATATAAATTGCTGTGTTTTTGCTGGAAAATTAAAACTTATCTACTCCATTGTGTATAGAAGAAATTTTGCTACTCTGAAAGAAAAACTTATCTCAGAGTTTAGACTGGATTTACAAAGAAAACTTCCCCATCAGTATTAAATCATGTATTAACTCAACTTGGTTTTATCAGCTACAGCGGTAGCTCAGTTCACGCATTTAGTTCTTTGATTAAATTCGGTTGCTAGCCGAATCTGAACTGGACAAGAACCGAGCCATGTTTCCTCGAAAGATGGAACACTGAACCTCACCATTGCACTTGATCTGATTTCGTTCAGCTCAGTGTGTGACCAGAACCTTGCAAAGAATTAAGTCTGCAAACCTAGGTACCTCTGTGCAGTGATACATAAATAATACATTTTTGTTTATATGTGTAGGCATTTACACAGTGCCCAGATAGAAATGTAGCTTTTTATTTTGATAGCATCCTAAACCCTGCTCCCAGTAATAGCAGAGATGTTTGTTACTTTAAAGCTTCCTGCTCCTTGGTTAAAGCTTCGTCTTTGGCTATGACTATATATGCTAGTAGGTTATTCCTTTTTTTTTTTTTTTTTTTTTTTTTTTTTTTTTGAGAGTTCTTATGTTTCTCTCCTCTCCTCTGTTCTCCCGCGGTTAATCTGAAAGCGTGGCGTTGGACTAGCTGGAAAGGTTAGAGTAGAAAGTAGAAAGTGTGTTGCTATAGTAACGTTGTAGGCTGGGGACTCAGAAGAAGCAGGAGTGGAAGAGAGACAAGAACAGAGGCACAGATGCCGCCTCGGAGGGCACACATCTGCTGGTCCCCCAGCCCCGGACATTGTCTCCAACGTAGCAGCAAGCCACGGAGTTTACCCTCTTCTACCTATTTATAGTAAAGTGCACTCATGTGGTTATGGCTTCTCTTTCTCTTTGTGCTGTGCAATCTGACCGGCAGTGCCGGTGTTCACCTGTGTAGAATGGGTACCTGAGACCTGCAGAATGCTGTTTTCCCACCGCAACACGGCACTCAAGGTCCGAGCGCCACCTAGTGGTAGTCCGGGTAGTTGCAGACTGTTAAGCGGCACCACGCCCCATCATTTTTCTGTTACACGATTTTTTTTTTCGTCTTTTTGAGACAGGGTCTCGCTCGGCAGTCCAGGCTGGCCTTGAACTCACTTTATAGCTCAGGTTGGTCTCGAACTCTCAACGATCCTCGTGCCTCAGCCTCCCGAGTGCTGGGATTATAGGGGTGCACCACCACACCCGGCCATTTTTCTGTTAGAAAGTCGATTTTCTCTTTTCAAAATAGGTCCCGTTATCTTTCCAAATATATAATATCTGGAAATATTAATATAATATTTGAAATATTAAATAATTATAAGGTTTGGACATATTAAATAAATTTTAAAATTTGCTTTAAATTATTTTATATTAAATAAAATAATTAGCTGTAGCTGTTAGTGCATTTAAAAGGATATTGTCTGCAAATTTAATAGGTTTCTTTCACACTTTCATTTTATACCAATTCTAGGTTATGCCTCTATATGTTACCATAACTTGATTAACGGTTGCTATAGATTTTAGGTCATTGGTAGGTTGAATATAGCATTACTATATTAAATTTATGATAGTTTAAGATATCTGTATAAAGAAGTGTACGTAAAACTCAACAGTGAAAGTGGAGTTAGTGGCACAGTCTGTAATCCAAGCTCTCAGGGGACTGAAGCAGGCGGTTTGCCACAAGTTCAGGACCAGCTTGGGCTACATAGTTCAAAGCTGGCCTGAACTGCAAAGCAAGACCTTGTGTCAAAAATAAATAAATAAATAAATTTCAACAATGGCATAGTGACTTTAATTAGAGTAAGAAAGAAATTAAGATTGAAGAATATAAGAGTTTTCATATATTACCCTGCTTTTCTCACTTGTTAGAATATAGAAGAAATAATTGTCAATCTTGATAGTAAAAATTTTATCTTCATAATTCCAAAAAGTTAATAAAGTTTGTCTAATTTACTTTTAAAAAACAACATTCAGTGTGCCTGAGTAGATTATGCATATGAGAGTGATGACAGAAAAAAAAAGAAATTGTGACGATCAAATATTTAAAATGTTATGCCTCAGCAGGTGGATAATTATTTGGTAACTTCTAGAAGTTACTGGAACACCTTTACAGGGTGTCGTGGGGCCAAACTCCCATTGGTCGCCCACAATAGTTCCCTGTAACATTCATGGATTCATGAATGTAAAATTTTTTGATGTGCACTTTTCCTTTTCCCAGAAATGAAATAGTATAAAACCTTTAATGAAAGCTATCATCTGAAGAGTAGCCCTTCACGCTGGTGGGTCATTTTTGGTGATTTCTTCCTTCTTTCTTGGACATTTGACACGTGACAAGTGGGAGAAGAATGTATTGAATATAGAGTATTTTTTTCTCCATAAAAATTTTAAACCATTGACTCAAATTCCAATCTTTTGTATTTATCTTTTCACTCGGACAAGATGAAAACAGACAACCAGCAGGGGCCAGGCGTTCCCAGGGCATGGATTTGAGCTTTACCCTTGTCACGGTGTCTCCCAAGAACCTACAGTTGGACATGATGGTGCACGCCTGTAATCCCAGCACTCGGGAAGCTGAGGCAGGAGGATCCCTGTGAGTTCAAGGCCAGCCTGGGCTACAAAGTGAGCTCAAGGCCAGCCTGAACTGCATACTGAGACCCTGTCTCAAAAAAAAAAAAAAAAAAAAAAAAAATGACAAGCATCTCCAGGCTTCCTTATTATGTCGTCAGCGTCAGACTCTTCCGAAATGAGTGCTTCTCACTTCCACTGTTAACTAGAATTGTGAGACTCTGGGGAAACTTTCTGAGGCCAAAATTTTTTTGTTAAAAAAATTATACCTGTCTGTTGCTAAAGCAAGAGAAACCCCAGCACTGTAGGAGGTTGAGGTGGTCCTGCAAGCTCAAGGCCAGCCTGGACAACTTAGCAAGACCTTGTCTCAAAGGAAAAATGTGAAACATAGGGCTGGGAATATAACTCATCGGTAGAGCAGCCCTGGTTTCAGTCCTCATCATCACACAGGAAGGAAGGAAGGAAGGAAGGAAGGAAGGAAGGAAGGAAGGAAGGAAGGAAGGGG